ATTTCAGTAGAGATCAAACGGAGACCGAATTGCGCGCCCGAACGAATGCTGAGGGGACTGATTTAAGGAGGGTTGGTGAGGGGACTAAAGGGAGAAGCCGCGTTTTCTCTGACGAGGAAAATGCAAATATACGGCCTGGCCGATAAAACCGCCACTATGGATGTGTACCCTCTCCACTCCCCCCATCGAGAGTTATTTATGCGCCTGGGCTCTTTAAGTGCAAATTATTCAGTGGGATTATTGGAAAAAAGACGGAATGAGAGCTGGTTTCGTCCTCAGATTAGTCAGGAAATCTGAGGAAGTGGCCATATAATAGGTTACGTTTTGATAAAGCGAATACATTAAGTCCTTTTTTGGTGTAATCGACAAAATGCAAAGCTAACTGCCATATTCTCAACACAAAAACGGGGGCAGTCAATTGAGGGTTCTAATTTTTACTGGCTACTGACATTTTACTTACGCATTTGCTATAAAGGAGGTAAATTGAGGTCCACCCAGAATGCCCGATAGAGACGCACTTACAGGGAGTCAGAGGTATCCGACTTCTGCCACAGGAGAATTTCCGCCCAAACAATAGTCCAGTTTGTATTCAGTCAGTCTTATGAGGACATGTTAATACTGGGGGGATGTCTGTTTTTCGAGTGAATGTATGAGTGAAATAAAGACTGGTTTTGACTGAAATTGTACATCGGCCCAAAGACCGTCTAAATTCCAAGGACCAGTTTAAGGTACTGTCTCATATTCCGCGACTAAACTGTGCTGATAATTGCCCATAACGCATGTTCAGGTCGTTCATGCATAAAAATGACCTGACTATGCGACGGAGAGAAGAGGAATTTTTGTAGAGGGCTGTCAGCACCTACGAAACGGGTCATGAGTTCACACTCACGTTAGCCAAGATACTCGCCCACATTGGAAGCAATACAAATCGATAATTGATCGAAGCCCTGCCTCGGATGATGAAAAGTCAGTTAATCGACGTATCGAGCTAGAGTCCTGCGTCGTCGATCCTTGAGTGGTGTGTACTTCCTAAAATAATCATTTTCTTTATTATTGCTAACAGGTCTGACAATGGACTTCTGCAGGAAGTCCAACGTTCAGACTAACAAAACATTGTTCCGTTGTAGGACCCATCTCCATACTTAATCACATATATTCGTGTGTTCAACTAGGGAATTTTTTCAGCGTCTGAAGAAGGTGCGGCAATAAAGTTGCTAGTTTATTGCAGTCAAAGATTTCTACCCTTTGTTTAACCTGCATGCCCGTAGTAGAAGATTTCATGCGAACGAAGACATTACTAATTCGTGCTCAAAATCTCCGAACACGAAAGGATGCCAGGGTTTTGTAAATAGAAATACGACGTTACTGAAAAATGAAGTAAGCCGAATTTCCGCTCAAACCTGCAAATATCTTGACTAATAAATCTTTTTCAAAATATATCCAATAGGAAAACGATAAAGATTCCGAACAGGTTAGATGAATATGTAAAAAAACAAGGCTTTAGCAGCCAAAAGTTAGGGCAATTTCCATAATTACTTTTACTGAATTAGGTCACGAAATGGATAAACGTTGTTCTTACGGGTGCTCTAGTCTGGAGGCATTTACAAGTTCAAAAAGCAAATTTAGCGCAGCACCATCAGAAAACTGCAGGCCAATTATTACTTATTGCTTGCCAGGGTTGCTGGGCAGGGAACCTGAAGGACTTTAGGTGAATAGTCAGAATTCTCATGTTAGCAGTCCCGTCTTTTGTAAAGTATGTAAATTTAAGGATTCTGAGTTTCCGCGCCTTCTACAGGTTTAATTCTCACCTGCTGAATGCTGTTGCGGTAGGTAGTACTTTCATAATTGGCGCTAACGCCACAGGTGACGGTTTGAACCCTCATACTGCTGGCCTGGATACTGTTCGGTGTTCCAGTACACGCAATGGCCAGGAAAGCAACTCTCCCCCCCTCCAAGGAAGTACTTCAATGAGCATCCGTGAGCTAACCCAGCATCGTGCAGTTTTCCTGATTTTCTACAATTCGATAGAAGAAAATAATTGTCCCCAATTCCACAGTTGTTTTTCAAGATCGACTGTTTTAGAATTACTAGACATTCATACCATTCGCTAAGCGTTGAAAAGTAGGAAATCAAAAGCATTCCATATTATGAGACGCGATGTCAATATTGGATGAGCTGGCGATTACAAAATGTGTACAGTAGGTAGCAAATCCTAGAAATCTTTAAACAAATTCTCAACTGTGATTTTGATTAGAAAGCATCACTTGGCTACGGTTGTAAGGATGTTTATGTTTCTGCGTAATCCGTAGATATTTCAGTCACTTCAGGGTCCAGGCCCTGGACGCGCGCCACTCTTGCTGATTTCACTAGGGACACACAGTGAAGACTTACAAATTAAGTAGTACATATTTTGTTCAAATCGATGTTTAATGCTGGTATACATTCAGTTTTTTTTTCTATGCTCAATGCAGAAAATATCCACCCTTTTACTAACTTGGAGGTAAGTTACGTTTTTCCTAATTTTGTTTAAATGGGAAAAGGGAGTGTTTTCTGATTTAAAAAAGTTGTGATCACAAAATATTTTTAAGACCGTCGAATGTCAATTAAAATAACAAGCGAATTTTCCGATCAAGACAAATGGATGATTTCCTAATTGTTTCACTTTTTTTAAATTCTCTTTATAACGCATACAATATACCCCAGATCCATTTCAAAAGTTTATGCACTCCATATGATATCATAAAAACACAGAGATGTGCATGATTTTCTCCATCTGAAAAGTGTTCACTTTGTAGACCACAAACTCCAGAATGAAAGTGCGATGGCAGTCCACCTTCGAAAGCATTTAGGAATTGAAATACCTTTTAAAAGCCAAAGAAACTGTTTCTTCAAACAGAACATTTAGGAAAGATACAAATTATCACCAAGCTTCGCACAACAAATGTCTGATTCTATTGGGACGTCAAACTCAAGGGGAATGTTTGTAGAGTGCGGTTTTCTAGACAGTTGAAACGTAGCGCACTCAAGAGCCATCAAGGCGAAATGTGATATTCCCTAAAAGCCGCTTCGATGACTGCGGTTTTGCAGCTACCTTTAACGTAAAGCATTCAAAAGCCATCAACCCGAGGTGACTAAAATAGCTCAGATGGCGTTGAAATGTGATCACATTCCCATCAATTCCATCTAAGGAAGCATTTTATGCTATTCAACCCACTTGAAGAGAGAAGTGCTAGAGAAGCCGAGCAACCTCTCGCAGTCACGAACCAGTCAGAGCTAACGATACTCTTGTGACCGCAGCCGAGGCCGGATGTTGTTGAGCGCACTCTTATCTTATGCAACATGGGAGACACGTGCGCGTGCCTTTCAGCAATATTGACTTGTCATGGAAATGCAGGTATTCCCAATACTTTTCGAAAAATACGCCATAAAGTATTTGTCGCTTGATACGCCGATTTCAGAGGGTTTTCGGTGTCGTTATATGGTTTATCACCTTGAAAAATCCAAACCTGCTAAAAGTATCTTTCCTCTCGGGAATGTATTAGATGAGGGGACGCCGCATTCCTCTGTTACAAAAATGTGAACGAACACATTTTATCAAGGTGTGTACCTTTTTCACTAAAAAACATCGTCAGACTGTCATTGGAATATTACCGGTGTGCGTCCGAAATGGCCTGAATGGTAGATTCTGTGGGCAAACTCGGAGACCAGATCAGGTCACGGCAGGCCTGATTCGGGTTGCCTTCCCACAACACATACCGAACATGGGCGGAGGGGGTGTTGGTGGCCCGCGTAGGTTCAGGCTCACGCTGTACCAGCTACCTGTCTCTTTCACCTGGCAATCCTACTTCGTAGGTTCTGGGTCAGGCCGGGCGGGTCTGGACGCGCCGCCCATCTGCGCCTGATCTCTCCTCCGTCCATTGGACTCTGTTTCGGAACCGGGTGCATGTGGTCAGGGAAAGAGAGTGCGGCAGCTACTGCACGAGTCTACTACCACGTAAAACCTATCCGCGCATGAGTAGCAGTCCCTACAAAATGCTCCCGTAGAGCACACAGTGCACCTTGTCAAATGTGACGGTTGAACTGTCGTCATCGCAGTACACCGATAACTAAACACCTGTTAAACAGGCGTTCCTTCCTCACTTCCAACCAAAGCTCAACAATGACCTCGATTCCTTTTTTCTCATACACACATATATTCGTTTGATAATGGGTTCTGCTAGTACATATCTAGATTCGAAGACCCTTTGGTAAGCAGATTTGTGTTTCCGAAAAAGCCTCGTTCGGCCACAAAGTTTATATGTGGACGAGGTACAAATGAAAACGTGTGATGAATAATATTCGTCTCTTCATACAGGTGAAGTGTGTGGATAGAGGGCACAATGTGTTGAGTTCGGACATTGGGTGGACCCCAATGAGGCCCACTTCTACTCAGGGTCTGCCAGCAACAGCCCAGGCGACTGCCAACAGGTTGCATAAGTCGGTCTTGTGCGCACAAAACAAG